GGCTAAGTTTCTTTAAGTATTTATTTAATGTGTGTGTGCGTGCGTGTGCGTGTGCGTGTGTGTGTGTGTGTGTGTGTGTGTGTGTGTGTGTAGAGCTCAGAGAATAGCTCAGGAGTCATGTGGGGAATGCCTTGTTTCTGCAGTTGGGTTGAGCTTCATATTCTAGGCCGTCTGACCTAAGAGATCTCAGGTGATTCCTGTCTCTGCCTCCCATCTTGACATAAGAGTGCTGGGGCTACAGATGTGGGCTGTCACCCTTCTAGCTTTATATACACTTCTGGAGATTGGAATCTTCATATTGAATTTTCTTGATTTCTTTCTCAGATTAGTCATTGTCAGTGCATAGTGTAACACCAGTGCTATAGGTCTTAATAAATGCCAGGAGTCTGATACAGGGGTAAAAGCTGAAAGATCAGAAATAAAGGAGCAAGCCACAGCCACAACTTCCCAGCTGAAAAGAGAGCGAGTTCCTGCTTCCTCCCACCTATAAACCTTTCTCCACCCAGTCATCTCACTTCCTATTTGTCTTAGCTAGTGGCAAGCTCCACCCTCTGATCTTTAGAAATGCTTTATTTGTACAAACAAGATATCACACAGCATAGGCATAATAACAACTCATTTTTCTACATTGAATCTATATCCTGGAAGTTTGGTAATTTTTATTAGCTTTTGTGAAATACATTTTCTGCAGATAACACATTATCTATTAACACAGATCATTGTACTTCATTCTATCTAATTTAAATGTCTTTTTTTCTTTTGTGCATAGTTATTCTGTAACTGCATCAAAAAAGGTGCCAAAATTTGGCATCATTATGGGGAAAATAAAATCTCAACCCTATTAAAATCTAGTCCCATTTGAACATTGTAAATCCTTACTAAAAGATAACATTGAAAAAATTCTAACCAACCTATTCTCAGACAAGTCACCACAATAGAAATACAAGAATTATGAAAAGTCAAAGCAACATGACTGCTTAAAATTACTAATTCCATAGTAATTGACTTCAGTGAGAGTGAATTAGAAGAAAATTCCAACAAAGTATTCAAAAGAATAATTATAAGAATGTTGAATGCAATCCAAGAGGATATGAATAAACTTCTTGTCATATTCAAAGTGAACACAAACAGCTGGGTGAAATAAGGAACTAAATTCAGAACATGAAAAGAGGAATTAAGTAGAGGTGGAAATAGTAAAAAAAAAAAAAAAAAGTTGAAATATGGAAACTAAAATCTCAGTACATGAGATAACATATTCAGTGGAAGTCTTCCCAGTGATGAATTAAATGGGATATAATGTCAGAGCTTGATGATAAGCTAAATGAGTTAGAATACTCAATGACAAAAACAACATAAATTGAAAGTATGAACAACATGTGAGATCTATGGGACACTATTAAAAGCCATTATTTATAAATCATGGTTATAGGACAAGAAAAACCAGCAAAAGGCAGAGATGGTGTATTCAAGAAAATCATAGCAGACAAAGTTCCAGTTTTTTTTTTTTCTTCGAAAGAGGTTGCTATCAAAGGAGGCATTTAGAAAAGCAAGTGAATAGGGTTAAAAAACAATCTGCCACATCATACTATGCATAAAACACTAAGTATACAGAACAGAGAATATTGAGACCTGTCAGAGAGAAACACTAAACACAGATAAAGAGAGGCAAATCCATGAAGATAACGGTGGATGTCCCTGTTAGTTTTAATTGGCAACTTGATACAACCTAGAATTCACCTGAGGAGAGTCTCAGTAGAGTGATTCTTTAGATCAGATCGGTCTGTGTGCCTGTCTTGGGGATTTTCTTCATTTGGTAGTTGACATAGGATAGTCCAGCCCACTGTGGATGGTGTTATTCCCTAGGCAGGTAGACTAGGCTGTATATAAGGAAACTAATTATGCTGAGAATAAGCAAGCAAATGAGCCAGCAAGCAGTATTTCCTCATAATGCATGTGTATTACCTTGGCTATAAGTGAGTGTCCTGGTTAGAGGTAATGCAACATGGAATAGCAAGCAAGCCTATGTTGAAGTTTCTGTTGAGTTTAAGTTGCTTTCTGTCAATGTTTCATTACAGCAACAGAAAGAAAACTTAAGAGTGGACCTTTCAACAGAGGCTCTAAAGCCATGAGCATAAAGAACAAGACTTTGAAAGGCAATAGCTGCCAACCAGATGTACTCTACCTAGCAGGGTATTCTTAATAATTGAAGAGGAAAGAAAAAGTTTCCTCGGTAAAAGGAATTTATGGCTACTAAGTAAGCACTAGGGAAGATCCTTGCAGGGATTATACAAACTGAGTAGAGAGATAAACATTTATGAACCCACAGGAGAGACTGTACTCACTAGTATTAGCAAATGATTATGAAAGTACCAGATATCACAAAAGCAGTAAAAAGATGTGAGGCCACAGGAGAGACTGTACTCACTAGGATTAGCAAATGATTAGGAAAAGTACCAGGTGTTACAAAAACATGCTTAGTTTTCAAAACTAATTGAGTGTTCATAGTGTCAATTCTCTAATTAGAAGAAAATTAATGACCCACAGCCAGGACTGTTACCCAAAGAAACCCTGTCTTGAAAAACCATACCAAAGCAGCAGCAGCAGCAACAACAGCAACACACAACAACATACACACACACACACATACACACCAAAACATCAGAAAAGAGAGCTTAAGAGATGGCTTAGTGAGTAAAAGTGTGAGGATCTGAGTTCAAATCCCAGATGCAGCAGTGTGCATCTGTAATCCTAGCACTCTGCAGGGAGATGGGAGGTAGAGACAGAAGAATACCTGGAAGCTCATAGCTAACTGGCCTGGTAGATGCAGTGATGAACAGCTACGACACCCTATGTCAGACGAGGTGGAAAGACTAGAACCAGCAACCAAAGGTTGACCTCTCATTTCCATACTGTGCCATGGCATGTACATACCCAACTCATATAAAACACACACACACACACACACACACACACACACACACACGAGAAAAGGAAAGGATAAAGAAAAATGAGTGCAGTGAAGAAGAGGAGGAAGACGGCATATACTTGTGGCCCCAGGTATCCAGGGTACCACACAGAGGAGGGTTGAAGTCTAACCTGCATGACACTGAAAGAGTCCCTCTGTTAATGAAGTAAAAGTTCATTGCAGAGTGATAAGGAGAAGGGGGGAGGGAGGTGCAGGAAAGGAGAAGGGGGGAGGGAGGTGCAGGAAAGGAGAAGGGGGGAGGGAGGTGCAGGAAAGGAGAAGGGGGGAGGGAGGTGCAGGAAAGGAGAAGGGGGAGGGAGGTGCAGGAAAGGAGAAGGGGGGAGAGGGAGGTGCAGGAAAGAAGGGGGAGGGAGGTGCAGGAAAGGAGAAGGAGAGAGGGAGGTGCAGGAAAGGAGAAGGGGGGAGGGAGGTGCAGGAAAGGAGAAGGGGGGAGGGAGGTGCAGGAAAGGAGAAGGGGGGAGGGAGGTGCAGGAAAGGAGAAGGGGGGAGGGAGGTGCAGGAAAGGAGAAGGGGAGAGGGAGGTGCAGGAAAGAAGGGGGGAGGGAGGTGCAGGAAAGGAGAAAGGGGGAGAGGGAGGTGCAGGAAAGAAGGAGAGAGGGAGGTGCAGGAAAGGAGAAGGGGGGAGGGAGGTGCAGGAAAGGAGAAGGGGGGAGGGAGGTGCAGGAAGAAAAAGAGGAAGGGAGGAACAAAAATGAAGTACTTCCAGAATCTCTTTGTAAGTTTACTTCCTGGAAATGCTTTTACTCTTATAGATTACAATTATAAGACTTTCAAGAGTCAAATAATAGTGACTCTTTGCTGCCTTATCAATCTTTGTAAATCCCACAGAGAAGTGGTTTGGTGTGATTAAAAATGTTGGGTTTTATCTATGTTTATGTAACTTATGAGTGCACATTATACCAGAAGTTAGTTAGTTAGTTCTTCTGTGTGTATGTAGTATGAACACTGTTCAAGTGGCGTGCTTTTTCATAAGAAAGCTCATGATATAAGAGGTTCCCTTTTAGGGTTTTCAGTATAAAATCATCATTAAGTGCCTGTGTTGAATGCAGTTTGTAAAGTCTCAGAGCAGTTTCTAATACAGAAAATTGTTGATTCAAATTCTGTAAGAGTTTCTTGGAAGATTCAACTTTTACAATTAAAAAAATGTGAGTTTCATCTATGGGAGCTGAATGTCTTGCTTTGTAGTATTGAAATGGATGAATGCTGCAAGCATTTAAAAATGTGTATTTTACAGCTCAGCCTAGACTGAGTGACAAGTGACTGTGCTTAGTTTGCTCAGATTGCTGGTGTTTATCATCAGATCATCTGTGTAGACTAATCCTCTGCCATCCCACCTTGCAATATGAGTGCTGGTGTTTCTACCTTTAAAGGTTTCTAAATGTATGCAAGCATCCTTCCATGACCAGAAAGATTCATTTTACTGTAAAGTAGTTCTCACTTACAAAAGAATAGTGAAAGCAGGTGAGAATAACAGAAGAGTTTAAAACGTGACGGTTCTTTCTCTAATCCTGAACAAGTTCTTCTTTTTTGTAAAACGATTTTACTTTGCATGAGGATCAGTGAAAAATTGTAATTCTTTTTGTGTAGTGCCTCAAGGCAAACAGGATGATAGGGAGATTGGGTCTGTGTAATTAATTACCTTCTCTGCTCAGAGAAAAATGTCAGAGGTAGAGTTGCCTCATTCAGCCATTGCAGTTTGATGTCTATCATAGGATATAGATTAAATAGTGATGGCTAAATTAAATAACCACTATCTGGGATGGAAGGGTGGAAAGACAGTCATGAATTTAAGTAGAGGTTCTGGTATTAGCACTAGGATTAGTATATATAGTGTACCAATAGTTACCTTGATTTATTTGTAAGGAATACATTTTCTTAGATGATTGGAAAAAAGTCTGAAGGTCTTTTTGGATTTCCTTGGGCAGTATGTCTGTTAGTGATGCAATTCCTGAGTGTATTTCAGTGTGTATTCTCTGACCGTATACATCATTTGCCATATCTTTTTGTTTTGCAGAGTTGGAGGGCTATCCAGTGTATCAATGCCTTATTGATAATGGCAGAACACCCGCCATTGCTAGACACAGCTCAGATTTTAAGTAGTGACATCTCTCTTCTGTCTGCCCCCATTGTAAGTGCGGATGGAACACAACAGGTAAGGGCATGGAAATGTATGTTCCTTCATGTCTTATAATCATTGTTTTCTTATAGCTAAGGGTCTACTTTCTTTGCTATTGAATAACCAGTAGTAATAGACTTGAGCTCTAGATTTTTTTTTTTTTGTCCTGTGCAAACATGATTTCTATTTTCACATGTTTTCATATACCTTCTTTTGCTAACTAACTTTCTTTTCAGGGTCAGATGGAAGCCTCTTAAGTTTTTCTCCCCAGTAGTCACAGATATGGAAGATACTCATGTACTTTTATGAGTCTCTGTCAGATTTCTGTTAACATTTGTTGCCTGAGGCCAGTGACTGACTTCAGTATGATTCTGTTAATCAGTTAATCACAGTACACTGCCCTTTGCTTTAGCTGTGTATTCTGCTGAGGGTAAGACACAGTACCAGGCTGCAACATCACCACAGTGTTCTATGCCTTGTTTCTCTTCTCTCAAAAATGAGATACCATTGGTAAAAAAATCATCTTAGGGCATCGAGGCTATGAAGTAGCAATAGTTGTATAAATGGCTATCAAGAATAGTACACACTATAGTGGAAATGTGGTGTAGTTGTTCATTAGCTGTGGTAGAATATATATAAACCACACAGAAGTCAGAAACAGCTCAGTGGGTAAGAGCACTTGTTTTTCTTGCAGAGGACCCAGGTTCATATCCTACCATGCCACATGGTAGCTTACAATTGTCTTTAACTTCAGTTCCAGTTCTTGCTTCTGGGAACACCAGGCATACACACAGAGAAAACACCTATACACATAAAATTAAAAGATGTCTTTAGAAAATTATATAGCAGATGATAATTGGAGATAGGCAGGCAATAAACTTGACAGTGGGTGTTCTTGTTTTGTTTTTATTTAATTTAATTAGTTTATTTATTTGAGACAAGGTTTCCCTGTGTAACAGTTCTGGCCTTCCTGAAACTGTCTTTGTAGACCAGGTTGGTCTTGAAATGACAGAGATCTGCTTGCCTCTGCCCCACCACCTTCAGGCGGCAGGGGATGCTCTTAACATTGGTTCAAGAACTGACTAATAAGCCAAGGCAGAGCTTACCTGCAAGTAAGCATCATTTGGTACCTGGGAAAAGCAGCAAACTGTACACCGCTGAAGACAGGAAAATGTGTGCTGGAATGGTGTGGGAATTCCACAGCAACAGATACTTTCATCTGTTGCCTAGACTCTCTCGGTAAAGTGCTTTTCCCTTGTCTCTCTTGGGATCAAATTAACTTTCTTATATTGGCTATTAAGATTACCTATCCCCTCAAGAATACTTGACTTTTATTCACTCCTTGTATCTACTACTGTGTCATATTAGCTATAGTGGGTGTGGCTTATGGACTGCAGCAGAAGGACTCTTCTGACATCTAGTGCTGCTTTTGGAAAAGCAGTGATGGCATCTTCTATTTTGATTGTCACAGCTGAGTGTGCTTTGGTTTTGCCTTCTTACCAGTAGACTTTTTTTTTTTTTTTTTTTTTGACACAGGCTCTTACTGTGTAGCTCTGAGTGGCCTGGAATGTACTGTGTAGACCAGGGTGTCTACACAGAGCTTTCCCTCCCAAGTGCTGGAATTAAAGGTGGGCACCATCACCCAGCAGTTAGTAATAGATTTTTGGTTTTTTAATAATAATTTTATTCATTTGAAATTGTAATCTAGTTATATCATTTCCTCCCTCCCTTTCCTCCCAACCATCCTATGTGCCCCACGCGCACATACCTACATACATACATACATACACACACACACACATACACACTGCCCATTCAGTATCATGTTACCTGTATGTCTGTGATCTCAGGGCTGACTATTTGATGTTGGATACTGATTGGGGAACTCTTCCTGGGGAAGACTTCTCCTACTCAAAGCATCCCCCAGTTCTTGCCCATAGTTCTTTAGCTAGGGTGACAGCTCTCAAGTGACTCCTCCCCGCCCCCAGACAGAGTTTCTCTATATTCAGGAACTCATTCTGTAGACCTGACTGGTCTCGAACTCACAGAGATCCACCTGCCTCTGGCTTTGGAGTGCTGGGATTAAAGGCATGCACCACCACCCAGCTCCTCTTCCTTGTCATGTCCATTGGTGTTGTCATTGCTCAGGTCTCTTTTAGGCAGCCATGTTGACTAGACTTGTTGGGCGTAGCCTTTCTGGCATTTCTAGGAGACACACTCTCATAATAACTTTCCTGTGCGTCTGGCTCTTAAAATCCTGCCCCCTCTTCTGTATTGATCCCCAAGTCTTAGGTTCAGGAGTTGTGTTGAAGGTATCAGTTGGGACTGGGTACCACATGATCCTTGTTCTCTGTTGTGGTTTTCTGTAAGTCTCTATTTGCTCCAAAAAGAACTTTCTTTGTTGAGGGGTTTATTTATTTATGTATGCAGTTTTAGGCTTGTAAGAAAAATTGAGGGACTGTATGGAGAGTTCTAATATAACACCTCCTCAGTGGTTCCTTCTATTAACACGAGTGTTAAATATTAACATATAAAGTACAACCCAGACAATATCACTAGATAATAATATAATCTAATGGGCCACTACCTTACACGTTATTTGGTGAATGACATTGTTAGTGTTCACGCTCTATAGTTCTGTTAGTTTGACATGTGTACACAATATACTTTAATTACCATATACGGAGTAGCTTCCCGACTCCAAGAAGTCCCATCTCTCCTTCACTGTTCCTGAGGATTGTCAGCTACTGGTTTTCTTGCTGTCTAATATACTTTTATCTTTCCTGGAATGCCACGTAATTGAATCCACAGTGTAGCTTTTCCAGTAGTTACTCTGACTTCACAAAATGCTCTGGATAGTTTCTCCTCATGGTTTAATTGCCCTTTTCTGTTTTGTTATTGTGCAATGACCATTGGGTTGTAGACCAGATCATTTGTCTAGTCTTCTTTTGAAAACTCCTGCCATTCCTTTGAGTTGTAGACACTTATGTGTATATTTAACATTCTGGTGCAGAGTTCAGGGTGAATCTCAGCTTTAGCTAATGGTGTGCGTAGTAAGAGAATGACTGGTCACCTTAAAAAGCAATGTTTAGTTTTGTAGGAAGCTTCCAGACTGTCTTCCAAAGGGTGTGGTTTTTGGTTTGATCTGAGATAATCCCAGTGGCAGAGGAAGTAAAGCATGTAGGAATGACTAAGGGTGTCGGAAACTCCACATTTGCTCAGTTTCAGGGAATGAGAACTTGACAAGTAGAGTACTTAGCTCTGTTCATATTGCCACCATTAGAGACAGTGTATATTGGTTTCTCATGTAGTTCAAATTTTGTAATTTAAGTTTATCTTCGTGGCTTCTGTGCATTTTTCTTCTGAGTGGAATGGACTGAATATTCATAGATGTTGGTGTAATCTCAGGTTGGGCTGTCATGTAGTCTAGTGTTACAGTGTATGCTTAGCCTGCAATAGGCCCTGGATTTGACCCCCAGTACTACCACTAGAAGCAGAGCTACTCACCAAGTCCTACGGAAAGTCTAAGCATAATCGTCTCTAGTTAGTTAGTCTCTTTTATTGTTTTTTTGTAACTGTCCCCTCTGATGTGTGTCCACAGGCTTTTGCTTTATGTTGGAGGCTAAGAGAACACAGAGATGCTGATAACATTATCTGAAAGGTTTGCATTTCCCAAAGAAGGCTGACAGGCATTAGATAACATCATGGGCTTGAACAACAAAGAAACTTGGACTGAGAGCTTTGCTGGAAAAGGGTCCATGAAAGGCAAGGCAGGACAATTTGGATTGGCTAGTTGTGAAAATGCCAATGGGCTTTGAGCAGTAGGGGTGTTTCTTTGTTGCTTGGTACTATGCCCCCCCCCCCCGTGATTTAGAAAAGGGGAAATATGGGCTTGGTGTTTATGTATTAGATAAGGTGGTTGTGGCTGTAAAGTTGGGACTGGTTGATTTAGAATAATAAGAGTTGTTCCTGGCCACGCCCTTTATCATCCCTGAGAATGGCTACCTCTTTGAGAGTCAGTTTGTTACATGTGGATGAAAATGTTTAAGGGTCATAACACAAGGGAAATAGTGAACATAAAGAGAACTTGAGTTAAGGTCAAATTAGTGATAATTTGGGAAGTATTAAGTAGGTAGAATTAAAAAACAGATTAGGACAGACTGAAAGGATAGAATCTCCCAGGCATTTCATTTGAATATGTGTATGGGGATGTCAAGAACACTCACTAAGACACGCAAGTCTCAGCACCAGAAGATAATATTATGGCTATAAATGTCCCTTTAAACAATAAGTCAAAAGTTTTATTGCTCACCCTGTATGTCTATCATTGGTTAACTGCAGCTCTGCCCACATTATCTTCCCTTGAGATCTATCCTTGTAGGATGTTGCTGGTAACATTCAAGTCCATGCTGATCTTCATTCACATTTCATTGGCCACCAGTGGGCTGGGATAATCTTCTTTTAGGACAGGGAGTATGCATTTGGCAAAGAGTTCTTTTCCCTAGAGAGAACAGAGGTATCAACAGGATGTGAGGGAAAGGAGTATGAGAAAACTTCAAATGCTTTTCAGGTCTTTGAGGATTATCAGCAGAGCTAATAAAAATGAAAGCAACCACCATTCAAGTTCTTGTATGTGTCTAGCTGAGCCTAGCTCTGTCTGTGCATTGTTTCCTTCATTCTTTCCAGAGTCTTAGACAGCATGAACATTTCCATCATTTCAGAAACTATGAATTATAGCAGTGTTTAGTTGTACCTTGCTAGATTAAGTCACATAGCTTCTGAAAGGAGAGGCAGGGAACAAGCTGACTCTGTAAGGTTTCTAGCCACATACCATGGTTCTAATTGCCATAAAAATAAGCTTAACAGGCTAGATTCAGGAAAGATCTCTCTGGAATCAGAGATCTAAAATTACCAGAATATTAGAGGTAGTTTATAAAGCCATAGGAATGTGTGTGATTATTTGTAATGAAGGAACTTATTTTGTCATGCATGTAGGGGAAATGTTAGTAATTAGTGATACAGCTCCCAAAAAAGCA